TTTTTTTTTTTTTTTTTTTTCTCGTAGTTCTAGTTTTTAATTTCTATTATCATTTACTTTTATTCTTATCTTCCCCATACCATCCCAGCAGTCTCAGAGTGCAGTGGGAACCCCGGTACCCGTAATTTTCACTCGGACATATCGGAGTGGAAATTAACCATGCAGAAAGAACCCCGCTACGTTTCTCGGCTGTCCGACGGTCTTTCCGGAGTAATTCAATAAGGTAACGAGTGGCGAACAACGACAACAGCCAGCACATGGCATGGCCAGATTTGCCATCCCGGCCGCATGCAATTCTCTGCATGTAAGTGGCTTACCGGGAGGGCAGTGGGAACCCATCCGGGGACGTCCGGAACCTCCCAAGTGGGGCGCTTGTCTTTCCTTTGCCTCTGGCCCTGAGCGCTGCATCCACTGAGTTTGCAAGCCGGTAATATTTTTTCCGGATTCTTGCTGATAAGCTAGCTAGCCTAGCTGCAGTTCACACCAAAGGTTAAAATGATTAGATACCTGGAAGTCGTGTGAGTCGTGTGAGCGGTGTTTGGAAACACCACACGACTGGTTCTTAGCAGGTTGATAAACCCCTCAGTAGCATGATCCTGCGATTTATCTCGGTGCTGATGACGGTAGTGGTTGCAGGACAGTGCGCCGGGCGCGATAAGCGTGACTTGCTGTCGAATTGCACTCCTCTACGGCAGTGGTGGTTAATTAATTCTAAATTGACCGTTTTGTGTGTGTGTGTGTGTGTGTGTGTGTGCGTGTCTCGCTCTGTCTCTCTTTCTTCATGAGAACAGGGAGGATAAGGACTAAGCCAGCCGAAGCGAAGAAGAGTGGGCCTCACACACCAAGCTTTTTTAGCCGGACCCGACAAGCTTTGCCGAGCTTCGAGGGTTTCGGTTCGGTATTGTACCGTACTGTACCTCCCGTACACGCTGACAGGGATGGCGGCCAGTGTAAGATTCTTCACTCCGAGACATCCTGGTCGGAGGCTGAGGTCATCGTGCAGCACAAGAAATGTCACCACTGCGTTGGAGTGTGGTTTCAAGGTTTGAGGAGCGAGCAGGATGGAGGAGGGACCGATAAGAAATCCTTCTAGATTGGCGGAGAACAATCAATCACAGCACTGCATGCATGAATGATACCACACCATCATGGATCCATGATCCCACTAACCCCCACCTGGCACTGCCCAACAATCCAATCCCAATCACTGACACCATGATCCAGTGGGGTGAGTCGTTTGGTTCGTATCCAATGGATGCATGATGGCCTCCCCCGACGGATGAACGGGGTGGTGTTTCCCCTCCCCGAGACACTCAATCAATTCGACCCATTCACAATCCCCAATAGAACTAGTCAATAAGTGAACAGCCATTTATATAACCCTCCCCTCCTCCTGTCCCACATCATTGTCAATCTTTTTTCCCCTTCCCCTTCCCCTTTCCCTTTCCCCCTCCCACTTTTTCCCTGCCCCAAAGGATCAATAATATTTTGCATCCTCCACAAAAAAGAATGGCAGGCGTCGTCTCCGCCGCCAACCTGGGGGGTGTCGCGGACCCGCGCCTGGGCAACGAAGCCGACCTCATCGGCACCGAGGCCGAGCACGGCATCATCATCGACGACCACAGCCACCATGGCCACCCCGGCAGCAAGGAACGGTCGCTCCACGCCATCCCCGCCCCCGTCATGCACGGCTCCGGCAACATCTACCTCGACTCCAGCATCTCCTTCGAGAATTACCTGTTCTGGGCCAAGCGCTCCCGCGAGTTCGAGAAGCACATCCGCACCGACAACCAGGGCTTTCAGCAGCTGTGGAATGTGATGCTGGGGCGCGCGTCCAAGGAGACGGCCTCGCCGGCCCCGCGGATTGTGGATTCGACGACCGAGAAGCAGAAGGGTCCCGTCGAGGGTGGGGTCGCTGTTGGGGATGAGAAGGCTGCGATGTCGGAGAAGGCGGATTCCGGGGACGGGGTTGGTAGTGGTGGTGAACGCGAGGGGAACGGGGATCAGTACGGCATTACTGAGACGGAGTGGGAGCTGGCGCAGCGGGCCGCGAGAACGGCGACTTGGGGTGAGTGGATGCTATTTTTGGGGGGGTTGGGGTTGGGTTCCAGTGGAAGGCAGGTGAGGCTGACGTGACTGCCTCTGGGCGGGTAGGCTCGATCTTCTATCTGATTACCACCGATATCCTGGGTCCGACGAACGTGCCTTGGGCGATTAGTGTAAGTGATTTCCGGGAAAGGACGGAGGAGATGGCAGGCGCAGATATGCTAACAGACTGTGCAGGAAATGGGCTATGGGCCTGGTTTTGTGAGTCGGCCACTGAACCTGAGTCCCGACATCCGCTAACATAGGGCTGGCAGGCGCTGTATACGGTCTTCGGTATCATGGCATACTAGTGAGTTTTCGCCCCATATGCAATACTCTTGCCTCTTGACTAAACGCTCTGTAGTTCCGGAATGCAGCTGTGGAAGATCTTCAACGGTCTCGACTCAACCCGCTATCCCATGCGCAGTAGGTTATCCCGTTGGGACCAGAGAGAGGTATGAAGCGACTGGCTGACCGACTTCCTCAGACTACGGCGATGTTGCGTTCCGGATCTTCGGCCCCGTTGCTCGCATTGGCGTCAACATTCTTCAGAGCTTCCAGTTCTTCCTGAACGTGACCTTGCTCATTGTAAGCAACGGCCAGGGGTTGGGTCAAATGGCTGCCGGAGTACATGGCACGGGAAAACTATGCTGTGAGAATCCTCAACCCGAGCAAAGAATATCGGCAGTGCTGACCTCTCATCCCCGCAGTCATCGTGTGTGAGGTCATCTTCATGCTCCTCGGCTTCGTCCTAGGACAGATTCGGACCTTGCAGCGCCTGTCGTGGCTATCGAACCTGGCCATCTGGATGAACTTTACTGTGATTCTCATCACGTACGAGCACGGCCCCATCCTCAAAATAGCAAGAACAGCGCTGACATGATGGCTAGTATGGGCGTGGTCTACGTATACCCCCCCACCGACAGTGTCGCCAGCTCTACCAACCTCAATCCCGATCCCATTCGGACCAGCGCCAACTGGCCGGCGGACGGGACTCTATACACTCGGATGACGGCGGTGATGAACTGTGTCTTCGCCTACGGTGGCGCCACCCTCTTCAACGAGCTGATGGCTGAGATGCGGCGCCCGTAGGCCTTCCCCCATCTTCTTTTTTGGCACCGTTGCAGAAGCTGACAGTTTGCATAGGTTCGATTTCTGGAAGGGCTTCATCTGCGCCGAGGTCTTCATCTATGTGTGCTACCTCGTCGAAGGAATGGTCGTGTACAACGCGCAGGGACAGTATACCTTCAACCCGGCGTACCAGGGTGAGTGCAACAAGCAGGCCCCCGTCTCTACGGGACTATATCTCTGTTTCCACGTCACGCTAACCAGGATCCTCCCCAAGGAATCCCCGACTCCGCTTACAGCTACCAAACCGGCTGTAACGCCCTCTCGCTCATCTCGGGCGTTATCGCAGCTCTGCTGTACGGCAACATCGGCATCAAAGTCTTCTACGCCTCGGTCCTGCGCGACGTCTTCCACTTCCCGCCGCTGGATCACCGCACCGGCAAACTGATCTGGATTGCTCTTGGTATGTGACCCCCCGGGTTCTTCCCTTGTCCAAGAATTTGTGATTGGAGATTGACGGAATGAAACAGTCCCGATCTACTGGTGCCTCGCCTGGATCGTCGCCGCCGCCATCCCGCAGATCAGCAACCTCACCTCCTTCGTCGGTGCTCTCTGCATCCTCCAGTTCTCCTACACCTTCCCGCCGATGCTTCTCGTCGGGTTCAACGTGCAGAAGGACGCCATCCTGCCCGAGGAGACCTTCGACCCCCACACGGGCGAGACCCGGCGCGTGGATTCCGGCTGGAAGCGCTGGGTCCGCGGGTACCGTCAGCAGTTCGCCCGGAATACCTTCGATGTGCTGTACTCGTTGGCCGCGTTGGGCACGGCCGGGCTGGGGCTCTGGGCGTCGATCGTGGCGATGGAGGCGGATTTCAAGAGCTCGGCGTTGACGCCGTTCACGTGCACGAACCCGGCGGGTTAGGGATGTTCTGTTTTGGACTCGTTCCTTGAAGAAAGGCATGGAGACGAGTGGGATGTATGGGCTGTATGTTATGCTAGATGCGGAATTGGCTCTGACTTAATGTGTATGGCTTCTTGGTTTATGAGCTTTTTGACTTTAGTCGATATCATGGGTGCTTTGTATATATAAATTAAACGGTTGATGCTTATCGGGACCTGGTCACCACAAAATGCTTGGTCTTGAAACTATGAGTTAACCAGTTACCTGCCGACCGTTTGTCCATTATATCGCCATATCATTTTCGATTATCTCCGTTGAAAGTCCACCGCCGATGTATGGGCCGACATTTGAAAACTCGCCGCGATTTCGGTTCTTACGCGACCTGGGTGCGGTGCTTCTTCTCTGAAGGCCACCCGACAAGAAAGTAGCTATCTTTGGTGACAATCAGTCACAAGTAGAACTGCACAAGACGCTTCAAGACTATACTAGTTTCTAATCATCTCCCACTATCCAGCTTTGTCCTAAAGGAAAGCGGATCCTAACTTGAGGGAAGTATTGTATGTATGCGCACTCTGTGTACAGATCAAAGTATATGGCGCAGACTACAGCTGGCTAGCTACTTTCACCAATGGATGCTCGGAGAGTTGGATTCTGGCTTGCCAGGCAGGGTACTGTACATGACGCCAAGATCTCCCAGTTTACGAAGTGTTCCACGATCTTCATTTCACCAGGTTGGCAGATGCGTACATTGGTGGTATCAAGGACTTGAGGTATTCTTACAGATATCTTCCGAAGAAGAAACCTTCGAACATCAGTATTGGTAGGGGGCTTAAGAACAAAGCTTTTGCTCTTCGGTTCTTTGTGTTCGGGTCAGTATTCACATTCTGGAGTATCAGGATCTAAGTTCTCATCTGCCACCTTTCCCTATTTTGCCTAACGTGGGTGGTATCGAACATATGGTGAACGTCGATAACAATCGCATGAAGGAATCCATGACTTTCTGTAGTATGATAGCCTGAGGTCCAGCTTATCACAGACTGGGCTGCTCTTTCTATATGCCCAACTACATGTTGACCTGTCAACGCGAGTTGTTTATCTGACGACTATTCCCTCCCTCTCTCATATGGCACTGTTCTCATCTCATATCGAATCCAACTCAGAGCACCCACCGAACACCCTAACGGAGCAGTCAACCATCAACTCTCACCACACAATCGTCTCCTCCATCAACCCAACCTCAGGCCCACTGCTCCCCCCCACATACCGCAGGGTAGCCTTCCGCCCTTCCGCAAACTGCGGCGACGACGACCGCACGCGCGCTTCCAAGCTGATATCCGCAGGGTGATAGGCAGCAATGCCCGGCTCCACGCCGGCCGCCTGTTCCTCGATCGCGACGACGCGGCGCGCCACCCGGGCGGCGAGGTCGGAGTCCCACACCCCTTCGCGCCGACGACAGGTCTCGAGCAGCCGGAGGGCGTGGTGTCGGATCGTCGAGTCCCGGCAGCGGGTGGCGCAGATGTAGAGCGGGGTGAGGAAGCCCAGGGAGAGGGTGAAGGTGGGTTGGGCTGGAGCTGGGGGTGGTGGAGTTGGGAGAAGTGGCGGCGGTGCGGATCGGCGCGGGGGGGGTTTTCTGTCTTGGCGGGTGGTGGTAGGGGCTGTTGGGACGGCAAGTGCGGTTACGTCGCCTGTGACGACCGATATCAGGGAGACGATGGATTGGAAGTCCGGGGTGAATTGGTCCCACGCCAGCTCGGACGGCGGCCACCTCATCCGGAAGTACATGTTGAACAGCAGCTTCCAGGCTTTGAGGATGGCGACGGAATGTGCGTGGGGAGATTCTTTGCCGGGGTCTGTCTGCCACCGATGCATGGTTTGGCGATCGAAGTCGTGCATCCACGTTTTCAGGTCGGCGCGGACGCGGAACCACTCGGCCAGTAATTGCTGTTCGTGCGCAATACGTGCGGGGGAGTGGTCGTTGGGGGTTGACTCGAACGCCTCGATTAGGGCGTCGATTTGCACAAACCGATAGTATAGTTGTCGAAAGATGCGTTGGTGGTCTCTCACGTCGAGTGGTATGCCTGTTTGAAGCGGGTTGGCATTGAGAGCAGGCGGCGACAGCTTGGGCTGCGAGTCAGTGTCCAGCCCTTCCATGCCCTCGATTTCGAGCACCTGGCTCTGGACGGCGTGGAAGAGCGAGGACAACGCTGCTGGAGCCCTCTCGAGAGAGCTAGGGGGGAGCAACTGTTGCTGCTGGAGAATTCGCAGCCCAGACAAGGCATGTTGGATGGCGGTCTTGTAGCGGCCTTGCAGACACTCGCAGCAGAAGAACAGGATACAGGCCAGGAGGACGGTGCTTTTGCTCTGCGGAGACGTCACCAGCTGTCGGATGGCCTTGTTGTAGTGGAGCAGAGTGAAGGTGGTGGCTTCTTCGCTTGAGAAGGCAAAGGAGCGGTGCACGGAGCCCACCGCCATAGCCACGGATCGGATCACCGGCTCACTGGTGGTTGCCTGCAGCAGATACGAGCCCACCTCTGATCCTAGACCCGGTAAGGTATAGCGGTGGAAGAATTCCAGACTGCGATGCTCTTCGACATTCAGCTGCACTGCAGGCTGGATCTTCCGACCCGGCGGGATATGCTGGATGATCCGCAGGGAGCAGGGTTTCTGGGCCTGAGATTGGGACTGGGACCCATCCTGATAGCCGTCGCAGGTCCTTCCAGTGGACACGCACCGATTGCACTCGGGCCTTTGCTCGTCACATTTCACGCGACGAATCCTGTCGGGGTGAGTTGCTCTGTTGCCGGACGACCACCAGTAGAAACCCAGACTTACTTGCAGGTGATGCAGCCAGTGCGGGACCTTGCAGCTTGGGGTCTCCCCGTCATGGCGCGTTCGGTCCGAGTTGCGGGGATTGACTCATTCCTTGGTTCAATTGGTTGCTGTCAGCCTGCTGGGCTGTGTAGATTTGGGAGACAGTCTGAAGGCAACCCTATGTTGGTTAGCGTATGCGAGGGCAGGCCGATGAGTGGATGCAGCAGGGGGGGGAACATCAGACGGTCAGACCCGCCAACGTGGCCGCAAGCGACTTTAAAACTAGGTTAAACACCTATAGCCAAGTCAGTTAAGGAGCCTCAACTTACCTAGTGCAATCCTGCGACTAGTCGGGGTCGGGTTAGTCTATGCGAGCGGGCCAGTGATTGCTGCCATCGCCATCTCCACCCACGTTTCATCCACGGGATTTGATTAGACGAGGCTGAGTAGGGCTCTCCTCCCTGTCGATATACCCGGTGCAGATCAACGCCCAAGCCTCAGTCTAGATAGATTTGGACCCCAAATCTCCATATTGCTCCTCGTCTGCCATTCCTATATTGGGAGAAGTTGAGTGCGAGCTCAGCCTTGCGTACAGCACGAGCCATGCGAGATGGTGTATAAAGTCGAAGAGATGTTCGCAATTGTCGGAGAGGCTCCAGCTTCAGCTCATGCACTCGACGTTTTTCATTGCACTTTTCCAATAATCTCTATTCTCTACCTCGGGGGCTTGTATTCATAGTGCATAATGGCCCCTCCTCAGCATTGGTTAATCCTCACGGCCCTCGGGTCGTTGCCGTTGTGCCTGGCAAGTGCCCGGCCTTCAGCTCCTCGACACGTTTCCTCGCACATCCCATTAGTACGGCGCACAGACCCGGCAGCCAAGTTGTTTCGTCGCGACAAATATGGCATCGAGACTGTCTCTGAGTCGGATGTAGGTCGGATCCCATTCACTCACGCGTACCCCAACTCACCCTAGTGGTAGGGCTTCTGGTTTGGGAGCTTTGATGTCGGCAGCTCCAAGAACCTCCATCTCCTGATTGACACGGGCTCCTCCGATGTGATCATCAACCCTGGGTACTACAACGCGAGCTCTGCATCAGTCAACCTCAACCTTACGTTTGAGAACGGCTATGGAACAACCCAAAGCGATGGGTCCGGGACGGGCTCGGTACGTGACGATTCCCGTGCTCATGTCAAAAGTGTATAGCTAAACGACAGTTGTCTCGATTCAGGTAGCGGGGACCCTGTACAACGACACCATCACATACGGCAGCTTGACCATCGACCAGACGATCGGCTCCGCCAACGGCACGGCGCTGATCCCCGCTGATGGGATCGTGGGTTTCGCCGGAGTCGAAGTGGCTCAATTCCCCAACGGCGCGCCGCCCTTTTTCCACGCGCTCTGCCAGCAGGGTCAAGTCTCTTCGTGTCGCTTTGGCGTGGTCCTGGGCAGCAACTCGACTGGAACCCAGGTGCTGGGCGAGCTGGACACCTCCCTCTTCGAAGGGAACCTGACCATCACCTCCATCGTGCAGGAATGGGCCTTCTTTGCCGACGTGGCCGTCAACGACACCATCCTTACCAAGGATGTGCCTATCGAGCTCGACACCGGAACCGCCACGATCACCGGGTAAGTCGATGAGTCTCTGCTCCCAAAACCTTTCCTCCATGAGACGATGTTGATGTGTGAATAGTCCCGTCGACGAAGTACTTGCCATCTTCGAGGCGACCAACATCCAAGCCGTCGTCCAGAACACCAGCGACGGGGTGACCGTCACGGGCTACTTCCCCTGCGACAACCCTCCCACCGTGGGCTTCAGCATCCCCTCGCAGGCCAATGCCACCGCTGCCGTCGCCGCGGACTCCGACCTGGTCAGTCACCAGAGCGCCATCTTCAACATCGCCGCCGACCAGTGGATCGCCGTCGACAACGGGAACAACAATTGCACGGCGGTGCTCTCGGGCGCGACCGTCGCTTCGTACCCGACCTTGTGGGTGGTCGGTCAACGTATGTTTTCCATTCTCCTTTACCCTTTCTCCGTTCCGAAGAGAATCGGAAGGCTAATGGCTCGCAGCCTTCTTCCGGGGCCTGTACATCGATCACAATGTCGAGAATGCGACCGTGGGTTTGGCGATGTCCAAGACGCAATCCGGCACGCAGACCTCCGCGTCTGCGACACCGAGCAGCGCGTCGTCGGTGGTTCCCAGTAGCGGTGCGGTACTAGGACAGTCGGTGAATGTTGCTATGCTTTCGCTTTCGGTTCTTCTCGCGTGGGCTATGCATTGAGCTATGGGTGAGGGTCTGCTACTGCATCTGTGTTAGTGTTGGAGTTGTTTTACGGCAATGTACATACATACCTTCTAATCATTTCTACCCCGCAACCTCATTATCAAAACCACCCGATTCTTGCATTCATAGGCTGGACATTAGACTACTGGTGATGCTGAGATTTTACGAATAGGATCGAGTCTCGGGAAGATTCCGGACGGTGAGCCCTTTCGGCCAAGAATGAGAGTATAGCGGGAGTCGACCTTGTCCGATTCGGCTAAGTGTGTAGCTAAGTTGCGTAAGCCTCAGCCCTGCTTCTCCACTTCGTTTCTTGTGTCTTCCCCCATTCGTAGTTTGATGTAGCTTGGCCCGACTTTCTTTCGGATTGCACAGGCCCTGAGTCACCGATTGGTTGGTTGTATCGGAACCTCATGCCGAGGTTGCCATTTGCAGGTGTCGCCGAGGTTTCCACAGGGATTTCACAGGATTTATCAGGCAGCAGAACTGGGATCATTGCTGGGAGGGGTCTTCGGGTGCACTTGGAATGATTTCCCTTGTCGGGTTGCATGTCCCTCGTCCATAGCATCAACCCTGACAGTCGCGTCCTTTTCCTTTTCCTCCTCCGCAGACTTGTCCTCACCCATGGACGCATAATTCACTGGTGCAATATCTCGGCCTGCAAGGCACGAGCCCACAGGCCCAAATGCGTGCAGAGCAGAAAGTACTTGGCATGGGTCGACCATTCTCCCGTGGTGATCCGGACATAGAGAGCGAACAAATCCGCGAGGATGAAAGAATAGAACATCCACTGCATTTTGGGAGGGTGGTTTCAATCGTAAGAAAGACCGGAAGTGGGGCAATGAACGAGAAGTGCTGGTGTGGAATCTGACGATGAGTGATTTGGGAATGAGAAATCGCTCCGGTGAGTGTTGTGTCCTATTTATACCTCAATGAGGTGCGAAAGTGAGGACACATGAGGGATTTTCTGAAGCCTCGCAATTCTGTCATCCTCATTTGGCTGAGACGTTGCCTTGCTTGAAATGCTAGGCTGTACCTGGATACCAGAGTGCGCTATTAGATTTAGCCGGCCAAGCAGCGTGAGATAGTAGCAGCACTAAGGTAGTGTGTCTTTGTCTTTCAAACGGTCGTTCATGTGGCTCCACTCCAGATAAGCGGTGCTGGCTTTAGACACTCGAGGACAGCTATGATGCTGCGCCTCATCGAAGTGCCTTGGTCATGATTGAGGTCATCGGGGTCCGATCATCGTGGTGACAGGCTTGCGGGGCCAGCAGTTCCTCGACCGGACCAAGCGGATCAAGCGGAGGCTCTGCGGTAGGGCGATTGTGACACCACGGTTGATCCTCCAGCGCTCAAGTCGGAGACCCGGCTATCTTGAGCTCTCGACATGCTCGCCCGTGATTCCCTAACGGCTTGTGAATCTTATCCAAAGCAGGGATTTTCAGTCTGACTGGACTTCAGACTATCTTGGTGAGCTCGGCGGAACGAGTCATTCAGTCTCGTGAGTGTTAACATTCAGTTCGTGGCGACAACCAGGCCAAAGTGTTGGGAGACAGGTAAACAGACTCGAGAGGTGGTGGAGGGAACAAGTTGTGCATCTTGTTGTGCGAGGAAGAGGCCGGTGACTGACTAAGCTCATTAATATCACGTGGTGTCACTTCGACCCGGGATCACCTGACACTTAATGAAACACTCCCCTTCCAAGCAGATAAGCCAATCTACCGCAACCACGGACGATGAATAAAATCCGGACAGGTGCATAATCTCGCTGCGGGCCTAGACTCCTTTCGGCGCCAAAGCGCCAAGAAGTGGGCCGTTGACGTGGAAAGCCTGATTCATGCATGCATCGGCGGCTTCATATCATCTTTCAGTCGGCCACCAGACCCTTTGCTCTCCTGGACCCTGTAAAGCTCAATAACTCCATATTCGAACCCTTCGCGTCCCTTGGACCGGTACAATGATGATCGCACTCACGACCAAAGGAGAAAAGGGAATGGTACTCGACATCCATCGTAGGAATCATTTGGCTGGCACAGCCAGGTGCTTACGTATGCCTTTGTCCTGGTACCTCCCTCTCGTTGGCTTGGTCCCTCCATCCTGGAGGCCAGACACGTAAGCATGGCAGATCTAACGGTGTCACTGACTGCGGCCGAGCCCTATCAGTACGTACCCTTTTCCCTTGTCGCAGCGTTCGGCATGTACAAAGAGGGTCCGGGTCTGCTGCATCGGACTGCCGAGGCGAGGGTGGGATTCCCTTTACTCTGTATTTGAGAGGGCTACGCGACCTTGATCGTGACTCTTGGATATTTTCCACCAATTTCGGGGAACAATCTTGGACGATTGTACAGCACTCTCTCAAATCCCGCCCGGTCAATTGTCAATCCCCTGCACATCGATGGTGTACCGCAACCTGTCAAGTCAGGCCAGTGACTATCCCGACTACGAGCTCACGAATGTCCCTTACACCACCGGCACCAATACCGCAGCAGCCACCCATCCAGAAATAATGGAGAAGTCCACGAAGCCTACGGCAGCCGCAACGAAACCCTGGTACGATCCGCGCGGCTGGTCGTTACTCACCAAGTCGCTTGTTGCGGCCGGGGTGGTTGTCGCCATCGTGGCCCTCATCGTCGGTCTCGTGGAGGGCCTCAAATCCTCTTCGTATCCCGACTACTCCGCCCTGAGCTACACCCTGTCTCGCAAATACTCGGGGTCTTCCTTTTTCGACGAGTTTGACTACTATACCGCCACCGACCCGACAGATGGATTTGTTCAGTGAGCACCTACATCTATTCTACACAGTACCTTGTCACTAACTCAAAGCATCTAGATATGTGGACTCCTCAACAGCCTCAGAGCTCAACCTGACCTACGCCTCCAGCTCCCGCGCCGTGCTGAGGGTCGACACCAGCACCTCGAACCAAACCAGCGGTCGACGGTCAGTGCGCGTGACCTCGAAGGAGACGTACGAGAACGGACTCTTCATCTTCGACATCGTGCACACCCCGTACGGCTGCGCGACCTGGCCAGCGCTCTGGCTCACGGACCCGAACAACTGGCCGGAACACGGCGAGATTGACGTGCTCGAGTCCAACAACAGGGGCACGCACGGCAACGCGATGACCCTGCACACGACCAGCGGGTGCAAGATGAACGTCAAGCGCAAGGAGACCGGCTCCCCGACGTACATCAACTGCTTGAACACGGCGAACGACAACGCGGGGTGTGGCGTGACCGGCGGGAAAGCGACGTACGGGCAGGCATTCAACGAGAACGGGGGTGGAGTGAGCACAATCCCTACCCTAACCACTTAGTATACACACATCTTAATGGCTGTGGCAGGTCTACGCAATGGAACTCCGCGACGCCGGCATCCGCGTGTGGATGTGGGCGCGCGACGAGATCCCCGACGACATCTCGAACTCGAGCAGCAGCCCCGACCCGTCCGCCTGGGGCGAGGCGCTGGCGGATTTTCCCAGCACGAACTGCGATATCAGCTCGCACTTCACCAACCAGAGCATCATTGTGAACATCGATGTCTGTGGGGATCTCGCCGGGGCGTCGACCTATTACACCGACCTCTATGGCTGTCCGGATACGTGCACGCAGTGGGCGGCCGAGAACGGGGCCAACTTTACCAATGCCTACTGGGAGTTTAATAGTTTCAAGGTGTATCAGACTTCGTCGGGCGCGTCGACGACGGCGACGACTACCTCTTCTATGGCAGGGGCAACGTCTACGGCTGCTTCGGTAGGGACCACGTCTGCTGATGCGGCGTCGACGACAACTCAGGCGCAGTTGCAGGGGCAGGGGGAGGGGCAGGGGGATTCTTCGTCGCAGCAGCAGCAGAGTCAACAGGGTCAACAGCAGCAGCAGCAGCAGCATGGAGGACAATGATTGTGGGAGTTGATCTGCTGTTGCTCTCGGCGTGTGCATTTTTTCCTTCGTATTTTCAATAGCTTATACGCATTAGTAGCTTGTTGGAATAAGAAATCATTGGGGCGCTTCCTTGTAATCTGGCGTAGCTTTTTCTAGTCTTGAGTCGGGAATGACTAAATTAAATGCGGGTGTTGTTTATTTTTATTTGATAGTGATTCATGATTCTTGATGAAGAGGGTCGCCAATATATATACACGTGGACAAATATCCAAGCGCAAACACCCTGACCTCCCACAGACAATCAAACGCACAAAAAAAAAGGGGGAAGACCAAGTTTGATGATATAGATATACACCGAAGATATACCATAAGATATGATCATCTTTCCACCATCCAAATGCATATAATGACAATGGAAGCGAGAGCAGTCATCCTCATGGGTGCTGTCACATGCTCCAAGAACATTATGTCAAATAATGCATGGTCTTTCAACAACAGGGGCTGTGGTTTAGTGGTATAATATTCCCTTAGCATGGGAGAGGTCCGGGGTTCGATTCCCCGCAGCTCCATCTTTTTGCTGTTTTTCTCTCCGGCCTTCTTTACCTCTAGTTTGTTTATTTGGTTACCAAGGGTTGTGTGCTTCTTGCCCGGTTATCGATAAGACCCCATACCACACCCATGTGCACAATCCGTGTGCAACCACAACTAAACCTTTTAGATTATTCCAAACACATATGATGCTGCGAAAGACTACTGCTTTTGATCTGCGTATGCATAGTCATACCATTCCAGGATTAGTTCATCTATAGTTCTTACTAATCAGTTACAAGTATATGTGAAGATAGTATACCTCCAGCACACGCAACCCTCACACCACATTGACATCAATAATGACCGACAATGATATTGACGTCAACCCCTCTTCCATCTCACCACCACCCTCACAACCAGACAGAATCCATACCCCTGTCGTCCAACAACTAAGCTTTCAAGTTCTATCTCCTACCCCACCTGGCACTTATTCCAGCCCACCGGCTCCGGTCTACTCCGAAGGATAACAATTACCCTCCCATGACGCAGGATCCCCATCGCCCTTCCACAATATCGCATATAAACCCTACCTAAACATCCCAGACCAGCCAGCCAGAAAACCAGAAGCATCCAATCTATCTACGCCCACACAACCATCTCACAGCCTCCAAAAAAATCACACCCAACCACCTTTGAATCCAAGCACACAACGAACTGGAAAATATGCCCTCCCAGCTTACAAACCGCGACTTCCAATCCGCAAAGAACGTCGAGCCCCTCGACAAACACAACACCCAGTCCGAGGACGCCGCCACCCAGCCCTCCTTCTCCGGGCCGGGGGCCCACAGCTCGGCCGCGTCGACGACCAAGCCGCATGGCAACAAGATTCTGAACAAGCTGGATCCGCGTTTCGATAGCGAGATGTTGGAGGGGCAGCAGGAAAGGGAGAGGCGGGAGGGGCCGCATGAGTAGGGGGTAGGAGCGGGGGTTTCTTGGTCAGGTGTGCTGTGCATGCATACATGCAGGTATTACGCTGCAAGCAAAGGCTCGGACGGTATGATGAGGATTTGGTCTGAAGCGAGGATATAATTGTACTGTACTATATCACTAACATATTCACAATGAAGGTTAACCAACTAAGGTCTTTCAGCTTAGATTAAGAAAAGTAGACGTGCGAGCGAGATTGGCGCTGTGCTAGAAGTCCCGATTAGGTCGAGCCGTCGATGATGGCCTGGGCGATCTTTTCCGCCAGCATGTCTATTTCCCATGGTCAGTAACCCATTCGGTAGATGGAACCAAGATGAAAAGGTTCTCCAAGGCAGGGAAGACTCACAAACAGTGGACTGGGGATGGCCCGGGGGCAAGAACGGGAAAGCGCTGGCATCGACAACCCGCACGCCCTGAACGCCGTACACGCGCGCCTCGTGGTCCACGACCGCCATCGCGTCGCTCGCCAGCCCCATCTTGCACGTACACGCGGCGTGCCACAGCGTCATGACGTTGTTCTTGATGAACTCGAGGATCTCCGCGTCCGTCTGCGTCTGCACGCCCGGGTTGTACTCCTGGCCGATCACCACGGGCGCCATCGCCTGGCTCTGGAAGGCCGCGCGGATGCGCTTGAACATCGCCACCGCCACCTCCTGGTCGGCCTGCGTGTCCAGCCAGTTCGGATTGATGATGGGGAGGTCCGAGGTGTCGGCGGACTTGAGCGTCACATTGCCGCGCGAGGTCGGGGTGATGAGCACGCCGAGCATGGAGGCGTACTGGTAGCCATCGCGAGGCTGCGTCGTCAGGAGGTTGGAGAGGTTGCCGATATACCCGGCGCCGGAGATATACTGGTTGGGTTTAGGTTAGCATCGGCTTGAAGACTTCGATCTTCGACAGGAACAAGCCCTACCTCTGCTTCGGGCCAGTCACTGGGGAAGGTGGCGAGATCCTTCTCGGTCTGTTGGCCGAAGGCCGAGCGCAAACTGGCGGGGATTTTCTCCCAGGCGAGATAGTCGGCGATGGGGTTGGTCAGGGGGCCTGATCTTGTGGTGACTATGTTAAGGAATTGGCCGACCAGTTCCAGCAGGTTCAGGGCGATAGCTGTGAAGGTCTGCACCTTGACACGGTACGAGGGCGCAAAGAATGGGTGGTCCCACATGTTCTGGCCAACACCAGGACGATTCGCGACGACCGCGATGCTGTGCTGCTCCAGGACTTCCTGCGGACCCACCCCCGAAACCATCAGAAGCTGAGGGGATTGGAAGGCACCGGCCGACACAATCACTTCTTTTTTGGCTTTGATGGTGGAGACAATTCCCAGCGCGCCCCTGACCTGCACACCGGTGGCCTTCTTGTTGCTGTCGAAGATGATCTTCTTGGCGAGCGTGTTCGAGTACGTGGTCAACGTGGAGGGTTTGATGGAGGTCAAGAAGGACGACTGGGAGCTACTCCGCGTCTCGTCCTTGGGATTGATGGTCGAGGAGCAGTACTGCCCGCCCATGAGAGAGCCGGTGTTGAAGTCCTGGGTCTGGTTGATACCGATGGCCTGCATGCCAAGGTCCATCCACGTCGAGAACGGCATCGCGTAGTTCGCATAGGACACCTGCAGCGGTCCTCCGCTCGATTCGAACGCACTGCTGTCGTACTCGGTCGTGGCATTCTTGAACCGAAGCTCGGTGTTGGGGGGCGTGAAGGTCACGCTGCGCTTGTAGTAGGGCAGCACTTGGTCGAACTCATAGCTGCTGTCGTTGACGGTAGTGGCCCATTCGTGCATGGATTCGCGCGTCGGCCTGGGATTCCCGCATCGGTCAGTTACATGATCTCCAAGGTTATCATCCCGATTGTACTGGGACCTGCCGTTGATAAATCATGAAGTTCATCGCCGACCTGCCACATTATCTGTCAGCACAAGTGCATCCGCACATTGAATACCAGCGCATCACATACGATCCACCCAAGCACTTCCCCCGAGCGTAGTGGATCGACCGTCCGTTGGCGCCGGGCTGGTTCTCCGCGACAAACCCCCAGTCGTGGAGGGCGACGGTCTTGGGGTCGGAGCCGACAGGGAGCACATCGGCTGCGGGCACGGCGGCCACCGATTCCAGCTCGTAAAGGCCGCCGGCCTCCACCAAGGCGACCTTGAATTTCTGCTGTGCCAGACGCGTGGCGATGACATTGCCTCCCGTGCCGCCGCCGACGACCACGTAGTCAAATTCAGTATCGAAGAGGCCGCGCTCCTGGTGGCCAGTGGGCGAAGCAGCGGTCCCCGGGACCAGCCATTGTAAAGCGAGCGACGCAAGGAAGACGTGACCTATCATCGGGACTGTAAAGGAGTGTGGGTGCCAGAAAAGGCAGAAAGGTTAAGGATCAAGGAGTGGACTAAGGATCGAACAGGGTATCAGAAGCAAAAGCAAAAAGAGTGTCGGTTGAGGAGGGAGACTGCGGAAGGAGAGCTGCAGCAGGCGTTTATGAGACATGCTCGACCAGCACGGGGACTTCTCAAGTATGGCAAGACCGAGGAATCAGGATCGTGGCTGCCCAGAATCTAAGCTACATTGTGGATCAGTCAAGTTGGAAAAGTGATCGATCTATACGGTTGATCCGGTTCTGAATGGTGCATTCTTTAGAAGCCCCATACCCGTATCTCCAGGAGCTGAGCTGCAAGCGAGCGCCAAGTGGGAATTCTGCCAGGGATTAGGAATTAGTTTCCCTCCGACCAGGGCATCCTGGCACTGAGATACGAGATCCGGCCCATATTGAGACCGTTCCTGCTGGCTGGACCATCCGATTGACTCGGGATCGCAGAGTCGTGTATCATGGCCCTGAAGGTTGTGGGGAATGCGCTCTGGCCTCGGAGCATAAGAGCAAGATCAGGAACTGTACTCCGTGCGCCCCTTTTCGCGTGGGAACTGAAATCCACGGACCGACAAGAAAGATCTGAGGTTTGTGATCAACAGGCACGGTGGCTTAGGCTGAAACCACCGGACGGTCGCGATCACAAGCGAAGTGGGGATTGAGGGCTGAAGATCGCAAATATCGGGCGGGCGCAAAATTGGGTGGTTTGGAGCTCTGGGACCTCCCGAAACATTAACTCATAAATAGAAACACTGCGAACTGCTGCTCGTGTTGGTACCCCTCTGCATAGAGTCAACGCTTGCCAGAAATCCACTGATGTATCATCGAAAGACGCTCTATACAAATAATCGGGTTTGTGTGATCGAGTGTGATATGTGGACTTGCCGCGTAGTTCCGATGCAAGCGCCCTGAAGGAAATTAATTGTTGGGGAAAAACAAGGCACCAGGTGGACCCAGTGGGATCAACCCCGCAAATCCTTCAGTCAGCCCATGTTCTTGGACAGGTTCAGTATATAAAGCCAGGACAAATCGCCCTCCTGGCTTGCCAGGAAATCGAGACTGGCAATTTTTGAGTCAATGTAGGGTTGGGGAGGGAGACAGAGGGGGGGATGGGGGGAGTGATGACTAAACAAACACCTTTTGCTCTGCACCATCGCCCAAAAGGGTAATGGTTGCGAGTAGCCCTGCATTGCCTTTTTCAGTCTTGGCTTCAGCCTGCCTAGTGAGCTTGTTCATGCGTTTTCATCATGTGCTACCTGCTTCCATCTCTTAGATCCATACATTTGCTTATGACTGTCCTGAAGATATTTAGGCATCAATCAAAATTCAGAGTGTTGGGGAATGGTGACACTTCCTAGGTTGGGGGGAACCCTTACTCCCAACCACAGAAGTACAGTATAGTTGTTGTGTATGTACAGTACTTGCATATACTTGGGTAGAAGAATAACATGAGAGATCATCAATGACAATATATCAGAATTATACCTCTGGAACTGAAGCATGACCTAGATGAAGAAAACTGCGGCCTACAAGCTCAAAGAGACACCCTACATCATCTCTTCTCAACCACCGAGGTATCATCCATCCCCAACGAAAGAAAATCTGCAAACCTTACAGCACGTGCCCCCGGAGTCTCCAACAGCCTAATCGTCTGTTGAGCCGCCGTGGCCAACAACGGCCCTCCGGTTCGAAGGGATCTGCAGAGCCGCGGTGATTGTCCCCTCATCAAGCCGCCAGCCGAACCCTCCTCTGCCACCACATGAACCCAAACGCCGTTTTGTCACATGCTGAACAGCCGAGTTTGTCAAGGGAAACTAAAGACTTTGCCTCTTCGCTGTGGTTGGCGGCAAGGATGAACCCTACCTATATAGTTGCCCCTCCAGCCATCCGCCATGGCCGCCACCAGACCAAGCCATCAGCCGACCACAGGCACCCCTCATCACTCGCGAGATCTTCATCAACAACCAAAACATCATCATCATCATCATCATGAGTGGCACACATCCAAATCCTAAGGACTCGATGAAGTCCACCTGGCGCCAGCTGGACCGCGACCAGTGGAGGTTCCCTCACTGGATGGTCGAGATGCTTGGCATCCACCACATCAACCTGGACCAAGACGTCCCCATCCACTCCAAGGAGGAAAAGATGCCCTACATCGGCGAGTTCTCCCTTCACCGCTGGATCCTCTGGCACTCGGTGCTTCCACTCCTCGTCCACCAGCTGTATGTCTCCTACACCGGCCGGCCGATGGGCCTCATCGCCGCCTTCTTCTTCTACAGTCTCGCCTTCAAGCTGATCGCCATCCACGAACTGCACGTCCTCCGCCGGCTAGGCCACAAGGTCGGCTTCTTCGACGGCGACCAGCACGCGCGCGACGGGGTGCCCGACGTGGGGATCGGCAAGGTCGTGCAGTCGCTCATGTCCACCTCGACCTTCCGGCCGGTCATGACCGTCTTCTTCAGCTACCGGCCCAGCCAGCCCCCGTCGCAGATCAGCTGGGCCTGGCTCATCCTGGAGATCGGGCTGTACGGCATCGTCCTCGACTTCTGGTTCTACTGGTACCACCGCGTCATGCACGACTGCGAGGGGCTCTGGAAGTACCACCGCACGCACCACCTCACCAAGCACCCGAACCCGCTGCTGTCGCTCTACGCCGACACGGAGCAGGAGATCTTCGACATCGCGGGCATCCCGCTGCTGGCGTACTTCTCGCTTAAGCTGATGGGGCTCCCCATGGGCTTCTATGAGTGGTGGATCTGCCATCAGTATG